CCATAAGATGCTATAACTTCCAAAAAAAAATTAATATTAAATTTTAAAAATATTGTTCAAGTCATAGTTAAATAATCACTCAAAGATTGCTCCACATATTTTTCAATTAAAATCTTATTTAATAATATATAAACAACTTTTCAGCTAAAAAACATATAATGTTTAACTATTTTCCAAAAGCTGATGTCATTTATAGTTCTTTTCAGGAAAGCAAAAACATATTTTAAACTTTAATGCCGTCTTACGGAAAAAAAGATATTATACAAAAAAAAAAACTCCAAATAAATATTTTTTTGTAATTTTTTAACACGCGAAAGAAAACATCTTCTTTTATACAAGTAATACAAATTTTAAAACCTATTTCTTTGTGTTATCAGCTTTCGGATATGAACTACAGATGTGTTTAAAGTGTCTAATATTCCAACTAACTAAAAATTATACCTGAAACTACTGAACGAAGTGCAATTACATGAGTTCTACTATTAACTTTAATGTTATAGAGAATAAGAGTTTACAGTTTTAACTTTTAGAATAAAACCACAGACTTAAAAAAAAAACATGTTTTAGAGTAGTTACACTTCATTAATTTCAATGAAATACTAATTTATGCAATTTTTAAAGTATGTTTTTAAATTAACTATTATGTGTACTATGAATTCCTAGTTTAATAGTGATTACATAGTGAATCTTTGATTCAGTAACGTAAGTAAACAAATTTTGCCCATTTGGAAAAACATAAAAGTCGATTTGGTTGAAATGTAAAAAAAATCAGGATTTCTAGAATCCAAGACTAACTTCTAGAGTCAGTCTTGGATTTTAAAATTCTAATGTAGTCGCATTTCTTGGTTTCTCCTATTTAAGCCACTACTTAATCTTACAAAAATAATTCGTACTACTAAATACTACTGAACAATAATCAAATTTGCTTGTGTTACTAGTACGTGGCTTAGATGTTAAAATATCAATTTTTTTTTACTTAAGAGATCGTTATTAATACTAGAGTATCACTACTGTATAGTGAAATGTCCTGGTTAGCCGTTAAGTATTACAATATTGGTCTTAATGTAAAAATGTTTTTTACTAAAAACAATTATTTTTTGATCATTTTCTTATTTTACTCGAAAAAACTTGCTCAGATAAATACTTTTTATCTATATAGAACAAAAGCAAATAAGATAATATTATACGTAAAATTTACGTATGAAATATTCTAAAAATATAAACATTAACAAAATAAAATAAAGAACAACATATTTATTGTTATATAAAAATATTTTTGATGAGGGAAAAAATTATACTTGATCTTTGAAATAATCTTACGCTCAAAACTTTGTTAATTAGTCTTTATTTAATTTTATCATTTTAGTTTTTTTTGCGTGCAAAGTAATTGAAGATCAAATGTGGTATAGAAATTTAAAAAATAATCCTACCATAATGTGAAAATCAGTCAGATATTTTCAAATAAGAAATATCTTGAAATTCCTTGTGTTAAAAACCTTTTTTTATGCCCCGTCAATTATAAAATTTCACATGCAGCGCTGAATGGCACTATTAATTCTTAGAAACATAATGCACCCCTAATATTGTTATTTTTTAAAAGATTCAGCTTTTTTCCTGGCTGAGTGACATTTCATTAAAAATGCCCAATGGCAAAAACCAATTTTAATAGGGTTTTCCATTTCATGTACATGAATATTTAAACGAAATTTTACAGTACCTTTTTTTATAATTATACTATGATTCTTTTCAATTTCATTGTTTTCAGTTAAAGTAAGCTAAACAAAAAATTCAAGAATATTGATTATTATTTTATTTATTACCTATTCGTTTTTAATCATAGAAATTTCAAGTTTAATATAATACTATTATTTTATATTTATGTAACACAAAGGAATTTAAATTAGAAGAACTGAATTAATATTATGTGAGTAACGAGGTGGTAGTCGTTTTTTGTTGAGAGTGCATTAAGGTCGAAACGTTTATGGGTTGTTGATGTAACCACAAAATAATTTGCCTTCCGTTTATTACGGCTTTTACAGTCTATTTCCTGTTATCATTTAGAAACTACAAAGTAGAAGTTATTAGTACTTAGTCTGATGTTCTATGTCGTTTCTAAAGAAGTTAGCTATTAAATATCCCATCGATGTTGGAGATTTTATTTTTTTAACAGTTTTACTTTCCGTTTTTCACTTAACAAAATAATAAAATTTATTTGCAAAAGTAGAACTATTGATTATATTAACCTTTAAAACTATATTCCAAACGGGGCTTTGTATATGCAATATTACTACATTCTAGATTTTGTCAAAATTAAATCTCTAAGGAGCTCAAACTTAGCCTTTTAATTTTCATATTTTAATAATAAATATAATATTTTTACTATGTAAATAGTTTTTAAAGATTTGACAGTGAAATTTTAAACCATTAATATTATTATAAATCCGCACATGATAAAGAATATTAAAAAATAAATTATTATTATTCAATGAGATTTTTTTCTTAAAGCAATAAAATTTCAATTAATGTCGAATCTCAGAGCATATTAACACCAATAAATCTACAAACAAAGATTCAAAAGACGCAAGTTACTGACAATTATTGAATGAGGCAATAATCGAATGACATTCCGGCTTCTAAAAATATCTAGGTTTTCATCTTATTGATTTTAATCAATTACTATTGTATCTAGCCAAAACGATTAAATAATTTATGTCAGGGAGACAGTGAAGTATTGGTGAAAAGAATGCGAGTAATCCAACTCGTAGTTGAAACTAAGTGTTTCTTCTATTGTTATCAGAAAAACATTTTTTTTAACTACGTACTTATCTATTTTATGAAACGTTAGAATCATTTAAGTGTAAATAGCAGAAAAATTAACATTGCATATATAATGAGTTAAATTTAATTAATATTTTCCATGGTACTATTAACAATTTTTTCTGTTTATTCAGAAATAATAAAGAAGACAATTTTTATTTAAATCACAATTCAAATTTGTAATAAAACAATATTTCGTTAATGTTGATAATTTAAAAATAGACAATATTGTCAGATAAAAAATTAACTATAGCACTATTAATTATTATGAAACTATCTTATCAAAACAAACAAAATAAAATGCAACATTTTAATTTCTAAAATTAAATTTTTACTAAATAAATTAATAGTCTGTGATAGAAATTCTTCACATCCATATTGAGTATATATTTCCTCTCGTTTCTTGAATTTTAATATAAAGTATTCCATTAAAAGAATGAAAATTAAGTTTATTAATCATAAATGATAAAAGTGGAAATAATTAATTTTTATGTTATATAATAAGTAATTTCTACAGAGAAAAAAAAATTTTAATTTAAAAAGTTTTAAGAAAATGATCATATTATATTTACTAAATGATGAGCAGTATTCAATTTGATAACCATACATTTTTTTTTTATCCTTAAATTTACAATGAGTTATAATTTGTTGTTAACGATCAAAATATGACTAATTTTGTAACTTTTAACATAAAAGTTAATCACGGCAATACGCTTAAGACGATTTTGTTTGGAATGTTATTAAAAATATTAATTTTAATATATATTTAATTTTAAGTAATATTGAAAAAATAAATCATTTCCACAAATGATCAACTCATATTGTATATATTTGCTTTATTTGAAAGAACTTATTTTATGGCGCATTAACATATCTGTTACTAGACACTTAAATTTATGTTAATTTTCATTCAATTTAACAGATTACATGTAAATATACAATTTAAGTTATTCCTTAGTTATTCATATGCATTTATACGATACTAGTAAAGTATTTAAAAATAAATATTTATCAAAGGCAGATTTTTTATTTGTTAATTATATTTGTCAAATATTCGAAATATATATTTTAAGTTCTAAGTATCTATCATTCTGACAAAAACAATAAAAATATACTTTTTTCTTAAACCAAAATGATTACAAAACATTAAGTAGTAAAGAATTATTTTTCTCATAATAACAGTAGCTTAAGATTTCATACTTAACTATTCTATTGGATTGCTAATATCGAATAAGTACATTTTTTTATGCATTGAATTACTTCATTTAAAATTACTCCAAAACTAAATTAATTGAAAAGCTATACTTTTTCACTTAGAATCTGATTAAACTATGGATCTCAAGGTGATTTTTGCATTATATAACGCAAATAATAGGACTCAATAACCATTTTATAAGTACACGTTATTTAAAAATATTAATATTGTTTAAATAACAAACTTAGTTATATTAGTAAATGCCTTCCTTGAATTCGCCAAATATAACAGTAATTTTTTAATTTAAAATATTAGTGTTTCTATAACGTAGTAGTTTGTATACTATCAAAATGAAAAAATTATCTGATACATAAAAAAAATAATACTTTGTTGATAATCACTTACAACATAGTAAAATTGAACTTATTCCTATAGTAAACACCAAGTATACCGTATGTACGGTGAAAACATTTAATGTGTAAAGAAATAAAAAAGTCCAATAGAATTTACTTTCTCTGTGTTGCATATAAAATATTTATTTATAAGTTTCAAATATTATGTAGAGAAGTGTAATCAATTTAAAATATAAATTTAATTAATTTTATTTTGATGATAATTGACATATTTTACTTAAGCAGATAATGGTCAAATTTTTTACAACGATCATTATTATTATTTAATATAATAATTTTCAGTTTGTATTAAATATTTATTTTTTATATTTTAAAAGATTAATTTAACATTAAAATCATGACGTTTTCATATGCTACTCTTTCATTTAGACTTTAATTTTTATTAAAATTCAAATTATTGAAAACCGTTATCTTAATTACGGAATAGTATCAATTACGAATAAATTCATTGTAAATAGTTGCCAAAAACAATCAATTTAATTAAATAAAATATAGACATTACATTATATTTTAGTATAACAATTTTAACGGTGTGATTCTCATTTTCGCTAATGATGTGATATCTAGGTAATTACCTGTACTCGGCGACCTGAAAATCATGACGAACTCGTCGAGTGCTCCTAAAATGGCGGCAGTTACGTTCAATTTCTGTATATCTTCAGTAAACTATTAATAGCTCAGTATCATATTCACTTGGGTTTTTAGTAAAAATTGTTCAATATTGTCGAAAACGGCACGTGGCTAACGGAAATGTTATTAAAGAGCAGCCGGACGGTTACAATGGCGACGTCCGACGTTTTGCGATGGACTGAGCGATCGGCGACGGCAGAGGCAGCGTGAAATTGTAGTCGAGCGTCAAACCAAGTGGCTTCACGCTGAACTAAAAATTTCCCGTGCCTTACCGTCAGTTTGCAGTTCAGACCGAGCCGAAAGTGGTCGGAGTGTGGAGAAAATCATGTGCCCGCATACTAATTCTGACGGCGGTGGCGGTCAAACGCCCTTTACTACACGTCCTGTTCTACGGTCGTGTCGTTATACATTGTGCCGCATCCGTTTTCCAGACGGTAATTTGCTCTCATTCGAATCTTATCATTAAAGGGATGTCAGAGCGAAGCAAGAACACAAGGCCATTGGCACCTAACCCTACCATTTTCCCCTTTCCACCGTTCCTTCTAACGGGTAGAACATTAAATAAAAGCAAAAACGGCCGTTTTAATAGTACGGTCGACCTACTATAGAGTTTGCATAAATCTCGTATCATATAGGTCTTTGTTCGTTAACAGAGGGCACAAAGTAACCAGACATTATGATAGACCTTTAACTTACCTCTAGTTATAATGATGTACAAGTAGAATTAACCAAAATCATTGACAGTTGACCATTATGTTGTACTCTTATAACTATTTAGTAGACACAAAATTATATTTTAAATATTAGAATATAAAAATCGCAGTGGAACTTAACAGTTTTACATTTTATGATTTACTATTTATAATGCTGTTCACATCTAATATAGGGATTCAAATTGTATTACTAATTCAATAAATTTATGTAATATAAATGGCAAATCAAGGGGAAATTATGTGCACTTTACCAATAAATTGGAATCGTATACTAATAAACCGATTTGATACTTGAATATTTTAAAAATACTTAATCCGACACAAAACCATTAACATTTTCTAAAATGAAAACCCCGAAATCACTTAAAAAAAAAATACATTTTCAACATATATTGATATCAACTAATTAAATAAGCTAAATATTTAATAAATAAATAGATTTATACTTGCTAATATCAATAATCTCATCATTTTTTTTATATTAAAACAACATAAATAAGTTAACTCAATTTTTATTAATGTCCCTTGAAGTCTGAAATTATATATTTTTATTTTAATTTAACTGCTTGTATATTTTTATGAAATATAATGTTTGGATAAATGAGAGTTGGATAGACACTTATTTATCTAAAATAAGTTTTTCTTCATTGATACAACAAATCAAACATTCACAATAAAAGGAAGTTTGTAATTTTAATGACACAGGTTGTTTTGAATTGCTTTCTAATCATTATTATTATCTTATTATTTTTTTAACAGAAATCATCTTAAATTATTTTAGTTATTTCGTAGTTAAACTCGACAGTTTTAGATTTGAATCATCTCATATTATTAAAGTTGGTGATTATTTTTCTCTAATTAAAATCAACGTTTAATTAAATTAATCTAAATTATGAAAATGTACTTTTAATAATCACCAAAGTTGAGTTTTTCGAAATATAATTTAATACAAAAAAAAAAATTATATTGAAGATAATGAACCCAATGTTAAATTAAGAAACATTTTTAATAGTTTTATGAAAAACAAAACCAAATTATTGCATCACCATTAACACAATCAACAAGATTTCTTAATTTATTTATTACTTATTTTACGATACTACACGACCAAACGGATAGTAAAACAGAAAATTAAAAACAAAAAAATGTTGCCATGTTCTTTCTTTGAAAAATTTCTGCATATGCTTTTGATTTTAATACAAATCAAATTAAATAAATAGATTAGTTAGAATAGATAAAAAAATATGTTTAATCGAAAAAACAATTGAGTTTAAATAGCCGTTAACAAAATAAAACATACTAATAATAAATGAAACATACTTGACATTCTCAAGTTAAATTTATCAAAAACTTTGAAAACTTCTTCAATGTTTATTTATTAAGTTGAAGTTAATTTGAATATTTTACCATGTTTGAGTTTCATTAAATAATATTTATTCATTATATTATGTTTCAAAAATCTTTTATGACAACACAAAACAACACTATATATTACAGTTATAGCAGAACAAACACAATAATATAAAATAAAATATGAACAGGTATTATATTCAACTGTAACGTAAAACAAAACAATTATAATAATAAATATTACAGAGAGAAATCAAATGCAAATTGAAGTCTTAATTAGTTTATTATTTTCAAAATAAATTCAGCAAAATTCTTATGAAAACAAATTTAATTGGGGTTTTGAAATTAATTATTTGTTGCGTAATTATTCAATTTTCAAAATCTTAATAATTTTATTAATTATTTTATTAACTACCCACTGCATCCATTATTTATGGAATAAAATATTGTAAAGTTTAGAAATAAAATTTATTTCTGCATCTGAGATTCAGGTCTGAATATAAATTTTACAAAACTTCCACCTGTATTAAAAAAAAATTCAATAAATTAATGAAATGTTTTAAACAAATACACAAAATAACTAGCATAATTCTCTAGTAAATCTATGATATTTATTATTTGTTTTGGCATTTATAAATAATTAATAAATACATATACAGATATACAGTACACCAGTATATTGAAATGATTGATATAACTATTTAATAAGTAAAGCGATCAAGTTGATTGCCCAAGGCGTTTATAAAGGCTTTAATGCTATGGAGTTTCAAACGTCATTTATTAAGTATAAAAAGGTCATTAGATTGTTTATCATTTAAGATCGAGTTTTTGCAATTCATAATACTGAATTATCAAAAGATTCATAAGTTTTTATACGAATGTCAGACCTCATGACATTAAAGATGAAGCTATTAAATATCGTATTTTTAATATTGTTAGACATTTTTTTTATTGTCTTTGACTATTTTTATTTACTGTCCTGTTTTTAATTATTATTTGTTATGATGTTGATAAATAATGAATCAATTGTTAATAGCACCAAACATTCGCTAAAGTTACATTGATCGCTATAATATACAGATGTTCAGTAAGTAAGAAAAAAGGTTTTTATTGTTCTTATTATCCACAAGAATTGACCTGTTTCCTCACTTTTTGAACACTCTGTATAAAGGTATATATTAATTAATATCAACAGTTTAGTTTTCAAATGGCGTACAGCTAATTGACGTTTTACCGAAATATCTTAGGGCAAAATTTTGAGTGTTTAACCCATTATCGATACTTTCTATTGAAGAAGCATGCATTATTAAATCAAGGTAGTAAGAATAATTGACATTGGAAGTGTATCTGACACGTGTGAAATCCGATATACCTTCTAAAAACGTATAAAATATTTTAGCCGTTAACCTCATAAATAAAACTGTCATTGTTTCGACTTCTTCGTCAAATAATTATCCCGTCATCATAAAACTAACAAGATAATAAGCACAGTCGTACGAAGCATAAAAAAATCCACCGCCAAAGACATTGATGCAGTTTTAATAACATTTGACAATCGATAAAACCTTACAAAAGCCATTAAACTCTACAATTGTATTCCACGCACTAAAATTTCTTGGCTGGTGGTGGCTCGGAGGCATCCAGTTGTGTTTGTATGTGAAGTTGCAGCTCGACATCAACTCCCTTTGCTCTCGCCATTCACTTTTCCATGTTTCCCTTCTACAACGCTGACTTTTCTTTCGACTTTCACCTTTTCCGGGTAAAATTGAATACCGTGTTTTATGACGTATTAGTCTATAAAAGGCCTGCGGCCATCAGAACCGCTCGCACGCACAAAAACGTCAATCGCTCGAGCGTTCCCTAGGCCGCGCACGATAAATAATAACGGAGAACCGCAATAAACCAACAAAACCGACGAGTGGTGGTGTCCTTAAAGAAGCCGCTGGCATTTAACTGGACAATTGCGGACAAACGACAGCAATGTCCACTGTACTATCGTTTCAAGACCCTTCGTCCTTATTTAAACAATCGATAGTTTTTGTCGCTATTAAACAAATCATCTCTCACAATGACATTTATTCATCTTTCAAATACCAAAATGACAAAAGACGCTAAATCAATGAACACTGATGAACAACTTTCGCATTGATCATTCGCTTGGAAATAATGCATAGCTCGTATTAACTCATTTACTTGTCATTATTTTTTTAACACTCAATTACACTACTCAGGTAAATAAAGAGAATGATTTTGAGTTCACTTTAACCAGTTAAGTGCACTCATTTAACAAAGAGCCTTTCATTTAATGAGTAAAATGAATGTTTTTACTTTATTAATACACAAAAAATCATTCCAAAAATAATACATTTTTATAATCGTAAAATGTTATATCTAACTACTTTAAATTATTGCAATTTGAAATTTAATTTTAATCAACCTTGTTTTAAATTAAAAAAATGGCTGGAATTATGATAGGAAGGAAAATAACAAAATAATTCTTCTTATGAACCTTTTTACAACAAGACGTAGTTAAAAAAACATAATTGGATAGTATTAGTATACTTACAAACTTAAAACTCGAAGAAAGTATTAAAGAACATTACAAACTTTATCTCGTAATCTAATTATATTTAAATTTGATTTGTACAAAATGTAAGATTTATTATACATACCATTCATGTTTAAATATATAGGTTAATAAACTACAAGTAACTAAACAATGTACTTTATCAAATTACTCATTAAAATAAATTTTATAGATTTTACAATAAAGTATTTTTTTTATTTATATTTCAGTTAAAAATATTGAGAAGTAATAATCTTTTCAAACTAGCTCAAAAAATTATATTAGAAACTAATATCACCAGTAAATTATAATGTAATAAATTCATTATTAGTAAAAATATTGTTTTCATTAAAATATAACAAGCAATAATAACAAAATGATCTGTTTATCATAATCCACTCAAATACTTACAAAATAAAATAAATTTCAAGAACTTAATGATTGATAAATTAAGATATATATTACATTTCTCAATTTATTAAGTACTATTTTCTTCATCCGCATACCTTATAAGGGTGTTTACTTTATTTTTTTAAATGGTAACAAATATATTTACCTAGCTTATAAAATAGAAAATGACTGATCGCTAACAACTTTTGGATCATTACTTCGGAAGTTATGAATATTTGTAATATTTTCTTCGAAAGAGGAAATGTGTGGTCTAGATAAGTCTAATAATACTATAGTATATTTCATGGTCTCCAGTCTTTATTTTTATATAATAATAATATCCTAAATAATGAGTCAGAAGTTGTTATCG